ATTTTTCAAGCATTTTAGAACATAAGAACATAAGAAAGGAGGAACACTGCAGGAGGCCTGCTGGCCCATACTAGGCAGGTCCTTTACAATTCATCCCACTAACAAAACATTTGCCCAACCCAATTTTCAATGCCACCCAAGAAATAAGCTCTGATGTGAAAGTCCCACTCAAATCCAACCCCTCCCACTCATGTACTTATCCAACCTAGATTTGAAACTACCCAAAGTCCCAGCCTCAATAACCCAACTAGGTAGACTGTTCCACTCATCAACTACCCTATTTCCAAACCAATACTTTCCTATGTCCTTTCTAAATCTAAACTTATCTAATTTAAATCCATTACTGCGCGTTCTCTCTTGGAGAGACATCCTCAAGACTTATTAATATCCCTTTATTAATACCTATCTTCCACTTATACACTTCGATCAGGTCTCCCCTCATTCTTCGTCTAACAAGTGAATGTAACTTAAGAGTCTTCAATCTTTCTTTATAAGGAAGATTTCTGATGCTATGTATTAATTTAGTCATCCTACGCTGAATGTTTTCTAACGAATTTATGTCCATTTTGTAATACGGAGACCAGAACTGAGCTGCATAATCAAGGTGAGGCCTTACTAATGATGTATAAAGCTGCAGTATGACCTCTGGACTTCTGTTGCTTACACTTCTTGATATAAATCCCAGTAATCTATTTGCCTTATTACGTACGCTTAGGCATTGCTGTCTTGGTTTAAGGTTGCTGCTCACCATAACCCCCAAGTCCTTTTCGCAATCTGTATGGCTAAGTTCTACATCATTTAATTTATAAGTACTAGGGTTATGGGCACTCCCAAGCTTCAGAACCTTGCATTTTCTACATTGAAATGCATCTCCCACTTTTCTGACCAAAAATAGAGTTTGTTTAAATCCTCCTGAAGATCCCTAAACATCTACGTTTGAATCAATTATCCTACCTATCTTTGTGTCATCGGCGAATTTGCTCATATCACTAGTAATTCCCTCATCAAGATCATTGATATATATTATAAACAACAACGGGCCCCAAGACTGACCCCTGTGGAACGCCACTTGTTACAGTCCCCACTCGGTTTTAAACCCCCATTTATGGACACTCTTGCTTCCTGTCAGTGAGCCATGACTCGATCCACGAGAGCACTTTTCCCCCAATGCCATGAGCTGCCACTTTTTTTAACAGTCTATGGTGCGGAACTTTCAAAAGCCTTACTAAAATTTTAAGTAAATAATATCAATTCTTTATTGTGGTCAACAGCCTCAAAAAGCTTTACTGAGAAAGTTAATAAATTAGTTAGACAAAGACCGGCCTCTTGTGAATCCATGCTGAGTATCTTAATCAAGCTATGCTTATCGAGATGGCTTCTTATATCTCAGCTATAATTGACTCTAGTAATTTTCCTACAATTGAGGGGCAGGTTTTGGGCGGTAATTTGCGGTTTAAAGACTTGTCCCGTTTAAAATAGGGTTAATTAAACCATCTTCAATATAGACATACCGTTTGAGAGTAATTAAAATATTAGTTAATGGTCAAGAGTTCATTTTGCATTCTTAGAACTTTGAAAAAACCTCATCGGACCGGGACTTATTTTGGGTTGTCTGTTATTGCCTCACAACCATCTCACTAGTGACTGTGATGTTACAAAAAATTTTTATCTTTTCTAGCCCACTGTAAAATTAAATTTGGAATTTGTTAGGTTTTCCCTGTGTAAAAATGAGAAAAAATAATTATTTAAAATCAAAAAAATTTCATTCTCTTGTCAGTAAGGTGCCCAGGTTTTTTTAAGGGGGACCTATCTTTCTCTAACTTTTGTTCTATAGCCGGGAAAAAAAACTTTTTGGGTTATTTTTTAAATCCTAGCAACTTTAATTTCATAGTCCCTTTTAGCTTTTCTTATCCCTTTTTAATGTCCCTTTTAATGTCAATATACTGATTCATAAGATGACCCTCACCTCTTTTGATACGCTATAAATTCCTTTCTTATGCCCTAGTAGATATTTGACCCAAATTATTATCCATTTTGGGTCATTTCTATTTGATCTAATTTCTTTATATGGGTTTAAACGCTCTTTGAGCAGCATGTATAGTGTTCAGAAAACTGTCATATTGATAGCTCTCTTCGTTACCCCAGTCAACAGATGATAAGTGTTCTCTAAGCCCATCGTAATTGCAAAGCGAAAATCTGGGACTGTTACTGAGTTATCGCTACTATCGTACTTCCATTCAATGCTAAATGTAATTGATTTGTGGTCGTTTAGCACCCAGTTTCCTCTGAAATTTCTAAATTATTAACAAGGGATTCATTGTTTGCCATAACTAAGTCAAGAAAGGTTTAAATTTCCCCTTGTAGGTTCTGCCCACAAAACTGCTTCAAAAAACAATCCTGAAATATTCTAAGAAGTCGTACGATTCTTAAATTCCCAGTCAAGAAATCCAATCAACATGACTAAAGTTAAAGTCTCCTAGAATTATACATTATCGTGCCTTGGGGCCCTTTAAACCCAATTTTCCTCCCATAGTAGTTTCCCTTGGTCCCTATCTAAGTTAGGGGGACGGTATATCACCCCTAAAAATCAGTTTTTCATGCCCCTTAAAAATTTTCTATCCAAAAGACTCTGTATGTGTTACTTCAGACTTAATACCCGTTTTTATGCAACAGTTCAAGCGATCTCGGACATTACAATGCCACCCACCCCCCCTCCCATACTTCTATCTTTTTGGGAACAATTTAAAAACCCTGAATATGACATTCCGCAGGCTTGTCCGACTTTTTGAATTAAACCCAAGTCTCAGTTAAAGGCAAATACATCAATGTTACCTACACTAGCAACTAATCTCAACTCGTCCATCTTATTCCTAGCCTACGGCAATTAGCTTTAATAAACATTGAAAGACTCTCCTTTCTCTTTCCCCTTCCTGCTCATTTCTATTTTTTACTAAACCTATTACTGTCCTTATCCCCCAAGGTCCTGGCTTTTCAATATCTATTCGTTCTTATTATTACTAGTTCCCCTAGAACTCGTAATATTACTACACGGGGGACTTCACTGTTTTCCTGCCAAAAACCCATACCACTAACTATTCCTAGTTTAAAGTCCTAATGCTCCCTCCACTGCAGTTGCAGTGCTCCCACCCCACCCCTAGATAAGTGAACCCATCCCTAGCTTACATGTCATTTTCTGCCATAGAAGAGGTCCCAGTTGTCAATGAATGTTACCGCATTTTCCTTACAGTATTTGTTTCCCGCCAGCAATTGACACCAATTGCCTGGACAAAACCCTTCACTTCCAACTCCCCTCCTTGGCAAAAAAACCACTATGAGAGGGTTCCCACCCTTACTCCTAATTATTTTATTGCTGACCTTACCCGCTTATCGGTCTTCACTCCTACGTCTGCCAACATCGTTGCCTCCAGCACTGAGACAGATAATAGGATTGCTCCCATTACCTCTCATGATGTCATCCAGACGGCTAACAATATCCTCCATCCCAGCCCCAGGAAAGCAAACTCTCTGTCTCCTACTCCTGTCCTTCAAGCAGAACGCCTATATCCATATACCTAACTTGGCTATCCCCAACAAAAAACAATATTCTTACCTTCCTTAATGTCTTTCGTCGTGGGCGTTTCCCAGTAGTCAACTCACATTCGTCCGGTAGCACTGAGAATGTATTGGATTTTTTCCACAACAGTTTCCACGGCAGTCTCTTTCCTCTTCATTTGTTTCTACCTTTCCATTCGTCTTCTTGATCGTCAACTTCTTTCCTGCTGTCCAGCCACTGACCAGTTTCCCTTCTTGACCTGAGGACTCAACACAGGAGGATTACTACGAATCTTCTTGTTTTCCTCGGTCAATCGCCGAATTTCCAAATTCGCCAACCTCAATTCTTCCTTAAGCTGTTGGTAAAGTTGCTCGATGGAGGGCATCTTGCTTCAATTCTAGAGAGCGCGCAAACAGGTCTTCACAGAGCCAAGTACACGTCAACACTCAATGATCACACCTGTTGAAGGTTTTCACACAGTCTGTATATAATACAACTGCATTTTGATTGTCCTTCAGTGTATCCAAAACCTTGTCATAGTGGTCCAGTAGTTGTGAGAGGCAGGAGCAACTTGCTCTAAACTCATGCTGCCCTGGGTTGTGCAACTGATGGGTATCCAAATGGTTGGCAATCTTGCTTCTTAGAACCCTTTCAAAGATTTTTATGATATGGGATGTTAGTGCTACAGGTCTGTAATTCTTTGCAATTACTTTACTACCACCTTTGTGGAATGGGGCTATGAACATTAAAATGGTATAAAATACCGACAGGTTGTTAGGTAAGACACATATGCAACAGTTAGGTATCTTTATTTCGAAACGTTTCGCCTACACAGTAAACTTCTTCAGTTGAGTACAGAAAAGTTGATAGAAGCAAAAGAGAATGGGGGTATATCAGTTGTTTTTAGTGACTGCGGGATGACCCCTGTGTCCATGCTTCCTCTCCATAGAATATTTAAGGCAAGTGAAAGAGGCTTCTTACAGTTCTTGATGAACACAGTTCTACAGCAGTTCATGACAGAGACCACCTGCTGATTGACCTCATTGTCCAAGCCACCATACTCACTCTGAAGATATTTCTCTGACCATTGTTAGGTTTACTAACAAAGTGTGTTCCTTCCTCCTAGTAACAATCTTGTCTATATCCACCTCACTGATATCTTGGCCATGACTCTCCTATATTTATCATCTTAGTCTTTTTCTCATACATCTACACTTGTAGTGTTTACCATTCTAATGACTCAACTAACAAAATATAATACATATAACATTAGAGAAATTAGTGCAGGAAATACAGTGTTATTATTGGGACTGTTATTTCTGCATCATTCACAGTAAATGTAAGCAGAATACACCGAGCCACCACATCATGAGCATATGCAATGAGTTGCATTATGAATTTCCATCAAACTTCAGATAAAAAAAAAAATAAAAGTACTAAAACTTACGTGTCCAAACTTATGGAAGATGAGGTACTGCTCAGCAGTAGGGTGCATGCCTACGTTGTTGAGCTTCCATGAGATTATCTGTAACACACACAAAGGACACTCAGTCAGTAGATGAACAGCTTCTTTTTACATGCACCGTTATAACACTTGCAATTAGGCAAAAGACTGGGGATCATGTACAGGGTTGCTTTAATATCTCCCTTTTTGAGGAGACCTAGAAGCTGGTGAAGGGCTCTTGATCCAAAGAATTGAATCAACCCCCCATCCCTTTCCTTGGATCAAACCTGATTGCCTCCTATTTTCCATTTGCTGTATGACTTTTTTTTTTTTTAGCATTTTTCCTGATTTTTTTAAGTGAATATAATATTATTACTAATATAGTACTAGTGAAGTAATGTACCTTGTCCTTGAAGTGTTCCATAACACCTGCAGTAGTGGAGGTACAATGTATGAGTACGAGACCCATACAGTGTTCAGGGTAGGCCATACCAAAGCGTGCCAGGATATTGGCTCCGGCACCCTCACCAAGGCCAATGACCAACTTAACATTGACGTGGTTCACAACAGCAACAAGGTCTTCAGCGATCATTTGCATGGTTGGAAACACATAGCTGAAAAAGAATTTCTCTGTTAGTATACTGTAGGGGAATTAAAACAAATTGTATTATAGTATTTTATGCATCAAAGAATCCTGCAATAATATGAAGATTTTCCCCTTCCCTGGATCAAACCTGACAGCCTCCTGTGATGTTTTTCTAGCCAGGGTCCAGTTGATTTTAGGTTAACTTTATCACCACAGCTATTAAAAGTGCTGATCTAAAAGTTGACCTTATCTCCTTTGCTGTTTAAAAGTTTTGATGAAGATTTTTAATAGATTTGCCCTTCTCATGGTCATCATATGTACTGCATCAATGCCTATCTCATCATTAGAAGTCATTTCGGAACCCTATAGTTGTTTACAGGCTATTCAGGTATTTTATTTCCCCCTCATCCTATCATACTGTGCATACATCTTTGGTCATTTTCTGCTGGGTTCTTGGACACATCGGTGTTTGGGGTAATGAACGGGCAGACTCTTCCACTTCATCAGCAGTTCATGACCCAATTTTGTACTGGGGTATTCCTTTCTTGGACTGTTTTGTAGTAATCTCTCAAAAACTTTGCAACTGTCAGCAACAATGGTGGTTTGACTTGGTCCACAATAAATTACGCTCTGTCAAAACCATGCTCAGGTTTCTGGCTGGAGTCCAGCAAGGGTGTTTCCTGTGATCATATTTGCTTCAACCTCCTCTTTTCTGCAACATTACAAGCCCCTGATAATGTGCTGATTGCAACATGAAAGGCCTGTTGGCCTATACTAGGCAGGTCCTTCACAATCCATCCCACTAACAACCCAATTTTCAATTCTACCCAAGCAATAAGCTTTGATAATTCTATTAACTCACATGCAAGTCCCACTCAAATAAACACTGACAATTCTATTTACTCATCTTGACTGTGTGCTGATGGAGTTACAGGAAGCTGACATCGAAGAAATGCTGAACACTGACAATGATGCACCTATTGTGCATTCCTTGAGTGATGATGAAATTAGATGAATTGTGATATATAAATAAGCCGTAGAGTTGATATTAACATCATATTGAAGTATTTTGTCGTGCCTAAGAACAGGAATTCCACTGGAACGGATTAATTGCCATTTCAATTAATTTAAATGAGGAAAATTGACTCAGCATACGAACAAATCGGGATACGAACAAGGTTACAGAACGGATTAAATTTGTAAGCGTCATGTTATGTTATATCTGCCATATGAAGCATCTGAACGCAAAAATTTTGCCTTGCCTCATGATAAAAAACTCACCTCACGTGATTCGTCCGGGACGCGTCCCATGCTTGGCCTCAGCTGCCCCGTGCGTGCCAGTGTTTACAAGCCAGCCAGTGTGGTCACATATAAGCATACATTCGGTGCATTTCATATTATCACAGTGATTTTAGTGCTTGTAGCTGCAAAATAAGTCACCAAGATAATAAGGCCCCAAGAAAGCTTCTAGTTCCAACCCTGTGGTAAAAAGGGTGAAAATTACTATAAAAATGATGAAAGAGATAATAGCTAAGTAAGAAAGTGGAGTGCGTGTCTCGGAGCTGGCCAGGTTGTATACCAAACCCCAATCAACCATCGCTACTATCTTGGCCAACCAAATGGCAATCAAGGAAGCTCTTCTTGCAAAAGGTGCAACTTTGTTTTCGAAACAGAGATCGCAAGTGATAGAAGATGTTGAGGGACTGTTATTGGTGTGGATAAACGAAAAACAGATAGCAGGAGATAGCATCTCTCAAGCGATCATATGTGAAAAGGCTAGGAAGTTGCATGATGATTTAATTAGAAAAATGCCTGCAACTAGTGGTGATGTGAGTGAATTTAAGGCCAGCAAAGGTTGGTTTGAGAGATTTAAAAATCGTAGTGGCATACATGGCATACATAGTGTGATAAGGCATGATGAGGCTGCCAGTTCGGACCAAAAAGCAGCTGAAAAATATGTGAAGGAATTCAAGGATTACATAGACAGTGAAGAATTGAAACCTGAACAAGTGTTTAATTGCGACAAAACAGGCCTGTTTTGGAAGAAAATGCCAAGCAGGACCTACATTACTCAGGAGGAAAGGCCCTCCCAGGACATAAGCCTATGAAAGACAGGCTTACTCTTCAGATGTGTGCTAATGCTAGTGGTGATTGCAAAGTGAAGCCTTTATTGGTGTATCACTCAGAAACTCCCAGAGTGTTCAGGTAAAACAATGTCCTCAAGGCTAATTTGTGTGTGATGTGGAGGGCAGACAGTAAGGCATGGGTCACTAGGGACTTTTTCTATGACTGGTTACACCATGCATTTGCTCCCAATGTGAAAAATTACCTAATGGAAAAGAAATTAAACCTTAAGTGCCTCCTGATATTAGACAATGCTCCTGGTCATCCTTCAGACTTGGCAGAGCAAATTTCTGGGGACATGAGCTTCATTAAGGTCAAGTTTTTGCCTCCTAATACCACTCCTCTCATGCAGCCCATGGACCAGCAGGTCATTTCAAACTTCAAAAAACTCTACACAAAAGCTATGTTTCAAAAGTGCTTTGAAGTGACCTCAGACACTCGATTGACTCGAAGAGAGTTTTGGAAAAATCACTTTAGTATCCTCAGTTGTGTAAACCTTATAGGTAAGGCTTGGGAGGTAGTGACTAAGAGGACCTTATACTCTGCTTGGAAGAAACTGTGGCCAGAATGTGTAGAAGAAAGGGATTTTGAAGGGTTTGAGGCTAACCCTGAGAAGCGTATGCCAGTTGTGGAATCCATTGTGGCATTGGGGAAGTCCATGGGTTGGAGGTTAGTGGGGAGGATGTGGAAGAGTTGGTGGAGGAGGACAATGAAGAACTAACCACTGATGAGCTGCAAGATCATCTTCAACAGCAAGAGGCCAGACCTGAGGAAACTGCTTCAGAGGAGGGGAGAGAGAAATTAAGAAAGTTGCCTACTTCAAATATTAAGAAAATGTGTGCAAAGTGGGTTGAACTGCAAACCTTTGTGGATGAAAATCACCCTGACACAGCTACTGCAAGCCATGTTGGCAATGTGTACAATGACAATGTTATGGATCATTTTAGGAAAGTCTTGAAAGGAACGGGAGGTACAGAGCTCTATGGACAGATTTGTTGTGCGACAGAGGTCCAGTGACTCTCAAGCTGGTCCTAGTGGCATTAAAAGAAGGGAAGTAACCCCGGAAAAGGACTTGCTACCTAAAGTCCTAATGGAAGGGGATTTCCCTTCTAAACAATAACAACTTCCACACTCTCCCCTCCTCCCATCCCATCAATCATCACCAGATCTTCAATAAAGGTAAGTGTCATGTATTCTATTCTTAGTAGAGCAGTAATTGTGCATGTCTTCTTCAGTTTGTGTGTATTAAAATTAATATTTCATGTGGTAAAAAAATTGTTTTTTTTCATACTTTGGGGGTGTCAGGAACGGATTAATTTGATTTCCATTATTTCTTACGGGGAAAATTAATTCGCCTTATGATAATTTCGGCTTATGATGAGCTCTCAGGAACAGATTAATATCGTAAAGCAGGGGTCCACTGCACTGGTCAGAGAGCCCATCGCAAGTCCAAGTCGTTGGTAAACGAGTACGTTGCTAAGTGAGGAGAGGCTGTATTAGAAAGAATAATAAAAAAATAATAAAAAAAAAAATCAGAAAAAATCTGAAAATTGACATGTGAGAACGCATGCTATGGGAGGCAGCATCACCATATATGTTATAAATGACTATAATTCCTTGTATGAACATAGTACAACAATGATTCTAATACCAGAGTGTTGCCAATGTGTTAAACTATTTTTCTATATGATTAGCTCAATTTTTGTATTTTTTTTTTCATTCATGCCCTGTGCACCTTAGTAACTTTATTCAGGTATACACAAATACAGTTACATAGATTATCATACATAGCAGAATATGTGTAGAGAACTTAGAATAATCCAAAAAAGTCAGAGTGACATATTTCCACTGGGTTCTTTTACTGCCCCTTAAGCACAGAAAAAGTAATCAAAGTTTGAAAAATCCTTAATTATACAAAATAATGCACAGTTTAATAGAGTAAAAACCTTAAATAACAGAGAAAAAATACCATAAACAACCAAGAAAACAAAATGAATTAAAAAACACATGAAATAGAACACAAGGAATTTACAGCGAATGAACACACGTCTGACTGAGACCAACTACAAGGCAAAGGTCTTAGGTGTATACAACAGGAATTGGGGAAACTTTGCACATGCAAAAAAATGGCGAGGAATGTGAAAACTGGTGCGGCTGTGTGTGCTCAGCACTCGATCATGTGTTCATGACCAGATGGAAAAATATGGCGAATTATTTCGTCATGAACCGATCTGTTCATGTTTAGAAGCTTTCGTGACCAGAGGCTCCACTGTACTGTAATTCATGCAAGCCTGTTTTCTTTGGTATACTGTAATACGTGCAACCCAGTTTTCTTTGGTATACGTATGGTATATATACAGTAAATATAAATGAAATTGAAAGAAACTCAAAATATTTCTTATGCCAAATCAAAGTCGAGAACAACATCCAGTATTGGGCCCTTACTTAAACGAGATAGGTCCTACGCAGATGAAAGCAAAGAAATGAGTGAGCTATTCAAGTTCTAATATGATTTAGTTTTTAGCGAGCTGCTAACCAGACTGAGTCGATGACCTAAATGAGTTTTTTATGAGACAAATTTTGGTAGACTCGAACCTATCTGATACTATCCTGACACCAAATGACTTCGAAAAGGCAATAAATGACATGCCCATGCACTCTGCCCCAGGCCCAGATTCATGGAACTCCGTGTTCATCAAGAACTGAAAGAAGTGCTTTTAACATCCCATGGAGAGGGAGCATGGACACGGGTCATCCCACAGCTGCTAAAAACAACAGACGTAGCCCCACTCCACATAAGGGGCAGTAAATGCTATGCATGTAAAGGACCCAAAGATCTGGAATTCATCACCAGAACACTAAAGACCCCTGCCAACCACCTATATACACATTAGTTACACAACC